TTTCGAAGAAAAAAGTCCCCATCGAAAGGTGCTCGCGACATTCTCCGTTTACGTATATATGCAGGCACGCTTTGTGCTTATCGAGCGTGACCGATTTTTTAAACATTAATCTCAACGTTGTCAGCCAATTGCACAGCAATCGCAGGATCGCTTTCTCGTCCAAGGACGATCAATCAAGGATCCTCCCGCGATGGGAAAGTATCCGTAAACGGGCCTCGATTGCCGTAGCGGCGCGATAGGTTCTTCTAGGAGACGAGATCATTTTTCCTTTCAAAACGCGAGGTGAACTTGTGAAATGCGTGTCGAAATAAAAACAGTCGCGAGCTCCCCAAGAAAAGCTCATTACCTCGACGCAGGACGGATGGAAATGGTTCTTCTTTACTTGGAACAATAATGAGGCGGTACACGTTTGTAAGATAAACCACAGATATCCTGGAGGCCAATTTCTAATTTTGTATCAACTATTTGCATTAATAAACAAGCTACGTCAAAGAGCTTGCTGAAAATCGAAACACTGTCTTGATTTACACGATGACTGTAGATGGACTGAATTTGTAATACTACGAAACTTTTTAATTTATTTCTTTCAAATTATCCCTAAATATATTTCCTATTTCTATTATTAGCAGAGAAACAACAATCTGCTGCACAATAAGAGAGTGAAAGGTACTTGGGAAGACTCAAAACCATCGTTGTTCTTTCTGGCTTCAAGCACCCGGAGGCAGAAGCTTGTTTATTGTTGTCCTTGTTATTGCTAAACATTCGAGCAACGCTTGTCATCGTCATCAAGTTGCGCGGTGATGGTACTCGAATATCAAGAGGCGACGCATTTGCATAACGACACGGAATTTTTCATGAACGTCGTTATGCAAATGACTCTTCCTTCATTTGTCGACGAACAAAGCCATCTGCAAACAAAAAACCGAGACATGAAATGTCCCTCCTTATCTTGTCTTTTCTTATCTCCATCTTGCGGATGCTTTGCAAAATTGAAAACATCCGGAAGAAATATTGTATTTCACGCTGTTACACAGCAACATACGATCTTCTGAATATTATTGTCTGTTAAATTAAATTAAATGATGAATTAAATGAAATTCATGTTGAAAGTTTTGTTACGGAAACATCTAATATTCATGACTTCTTTTTTATTTAACGACAATTGAATTAATATTTAATGCATATAATCCAACATTATGTAATTTTTAATCACTAAATATCTTTATATTTAGTTATGTGTGAGCGTCAAATTTAAATTCTACTGAAATTACATAAAATAAAATTGTACAAAATTCTATAAATTGTAACGAGTGCTTAATCATCGGAAGTCAATTTCTGAAAATACATTTATCATAAACAGCTTCCGTGATTCAAAAATTATTGTAACACATTACATCTCGGGAAAAGGCATTGCATTAATGAGATAATTTGCAAATACAGTTGATAGAAATTTGCTTACAAGCTGCATACGCGTCTCTAATTATGCCCTAATGAAGAGCAGTTTACCGCAATCGTGGAGACGGATGTGCTCTCGTCGTTTTAATCCTCGCCCACGAATTTGGCTACTACCTTCGGGAATCGCGTGTTTCCGCTCGTGAGTTACGTTAGAGTGGGGATTAAAAGGGTACATTTTTTCCTTGAAGTCGGAGACGTTGTTAACTGCCGCGTCCCTTACGCTCCAACTGGTTTCACTGTCTCAATAATGTCGTCATCTCACTTTACTTCGCCAACAATTCTCTTTGTCAATGAATAATGTGGATGTAAAAAATTCGCGCGATTTTCATGTTGAACACGTATTAATGCTGTCAGTATAAATTGACTAGTTTGTACACCCGCGTATCTAATTCGCACAACTAATCAAGGTAGTTGGGTATAATCGAAAATAATAAAATATCCAGATATACAGAGTGTCCGGGATCTTTCAGAAATGAAAAATTGTGAAGATTAATCAGATCAAACTGAGAGGAAAAGTCAAGTGTCATTTTGCAAAAATCGCAATAGTTATACTTGTTATACTTGAAAATTTACACACTTATTTGCAAAATGGTAAAGGAATTTTTTTTTGTTTAGAATGACCTAATCTACAATTGTATGATGACTATTGTGCCTAACGACAGATTCAAAGGTTCAATATATTCATATCTATCGCTAGGCATAATAGCCGTCATACAAAAGAGTCTTTTACCAATTTGCAAATAAGTACGCAAATTTTCAAGTTATCAATTAAAGAAGCTCCTAAATACGGTCATTTCTTATCGTTAATACCTTAATAACTATTATGATTTTTGCAAAATGGTGCTTGACTTTTCTCCTCAGTTTGATCTGATTAATCCTCACAATTTTTCGTTTCCAAAAGATCCCGGACATCCTGTATATACAAAACCTAAAACCGCGAATAATACCCGATAATACCAGACTGGAATTTATTCTTGAATTTTGCAGCAGCTGGATTTTACATTGCCTGATCCAGTTTTATTTCTTTTTAAGTACTACAGTGGCGTGCAAAACTTTTGAGCCACACAATTATTATTATATATTCATTTCATAATGAGCGTTAAAAACTTTACACATATATATAAACAATATGTATTTATTTGTCCTACAATTATATAAACTTTACAAACTCTTAAAAATTCTAAATACTTTATTTTTATACAATGTCTTATTACAAACAGTGCAAAAGTATTGCGCCAAAAAGTTTTCTTATGCATAAAAAAAATATATTATTGAAAAATAATAACAGAAAATGTTGTCAACGTTTTTTTAAACTTAATACTTTGTTGCCATGCCTTTAGAAGCAATCACTGCAGCACAACGACGAGGCATTGATGCTATTTAATTAGAAATGCGATCTTGAGGTAAATTTTGCCACTGAGTTTGCAAATCTTGCCATAATTCAGCTTTATTAGAGTGTTTCTTATTTCCTATACGTAGTTTGAGTTCTTGAGCCACAAATGCTCAATAGGATTCAAGTCCGGCGATTGCGAGGGCCAGTCAAGAACTCGCATTTTTTTCACGATGAAAAATTCTTTTATTAGTTTTGATGAATAGTTTTGGGATCGTTATCTTGTTGGAAAATCCAACTACGTAGCATATTTCGAGTTGCATATGGCAGCATATGCTGTGTCAATATATCTCGATACATTATAGCGTCCATAGTACCCGTGATCTCAACCAATGGACCAACTCCGTTATAAGAAAACAATCCCCAAACCATCACGCTACCTTCACCATGTTTTACGGTAGGAATTTGGTATCTTGAGTTATATCTTGTGCCTGTTGGACGTCGTATATATGTACTTTCTACCGTCACTTCCGAATAACTGAAACTTTGACTCGTCAGAGAAAAGTACTTTTCGCCAATCAACTTCAGTCCAATGTTCAAATTTCCTTGGAAAATCTAATCGAGTTTTCTTATTTTTTGCACTAATTAATGGTTTTTTTACACCAGCACGTCCTAAAAGATCTACTTCCTTTAGACATCGAGATATTATATTTCGACTAATATCAGCAAGATTTTCTTCTCGTAGTTCTCGAGAAATATCCATGGCCAGTTTTTCTAACATCTGCTATCGACTTTCTTTTAATTATTTTATCGACGCGCTTTGTAGTTTTGCAAAGTCTACCGTTTCGTGGTTTATCAGTTAGAGAGTTCGTCAACTTATATTTAACAATAATCCTATTTACAGAACTTTTATCAATTAATAAGCAATTAGCAATTTCGCGAGAAACCTTTTCTCGTTGAGAAAGATTAATCACGGCTTCGCGTAACTGAAGGCTTATATGTTTCGGCATTGCGGTAGACAATAGACTGAAATTTAGTTAAAGCAAATATTTACGAAGGAGTTTCATAAAAAACGTAAACAAACCGGGCTCATAAAGTCACAACAAGAATACGGCTCAATACTTTTGAACACATGTAAATATTATATGACTAAATAATTAGAAACTATGTAATTTCAAAATTTTGCAACTGTACTATTATTTGTAAGAATGTTATGTCAACTATTTTATATAATTAATTTTTAGAACAAATAAATATATTGTCATGTATCTTAAAAAGACACTATGGCTCGAAACTTTTGCACGCTACTGTATATGTCGTCTTAATGGTATTCGAGTATCGGGCTAGTTTGTGTATAATAATTGGATGTCAGTAGCCGGGAAATACCTGAAAGATTCGAATACTCGAGCGACACTCGAGTATTCGAGCATCCAGTGTATGGTATTTCGTATTCATTTTCAATGAAAATACTGTCTAATACCGTATACTTAATATTTAGAGATGTGCGAACTATTCGAATTCGAATCGAATCGAATCGAATCTAATGTAATTCGATTCGATTCGAATCCGAATTCCTATGATTCGAATCCGAATAATTCGAAAATTTCGAGTCGAAGATTCAATTACGAATAAAATATATTAACGTGCATTATATTTACTTGCATCAGGTACAAAATGAGCCATCTGGGCCTGTATATTTGAACCCTTAACTTGTAATTAACTCAACTTATAATTAATAACTTAATTATAAATTACTTTAAATATTTAAATATATATTTTACTGTAAGATGATATTACAATATCAATAGCCCCTTTCATATTAAAATCTTCCATCATTATGTGCATGTTTAATAGTCATGTTAAATTTTTTAATGATTCGATTCGATTCAAATTCGAATGAAATTTCGTAGATTCGATTCGATTCGAATTCGAATTAAAAAAATGAGATTCGATTCGATTCGACATAAAAATTCTTGATTCGCACATCTCTACTAATATTGTATTGTTAGACCGCGAGCGAGCGAGGTGACGAAATGATCGGCGCGCGAAAGTTCATCGGGTGACGATTCGCTCGAACCTAGAAGAAGCCTCCCTTCTGCAACAGTTACACCTAGAAACGGAGTTTCCCCGGCGGCAGGCATTGAACCTTTCACCTATCACGGCAGCAATATCGCTTCCCGGCCGACTCCTTTATGTTGTGTGCTTTCTGTTACAGGCGACGGCTGCGGGAATGGCATGTTCAGGTGTAACGACGGCAAATGCATACAGTCGATTCTCGTGTGCGACTATCGCGGCGATTGCGATGATAACAGCGACGAAATGCAGTCGTGTCGTGAGTATATCGCAGACTTTTTCTTTATCGTAAACCTTGGGAGAATATGGGGATAATAGTTTCTCGACGGTGCTTGCATTCTGAGAGTATCCCGTAAGGGAGGATGACACGACGTGAGGGCGGGCGGGCAGGGGGTGGGGGTGGGGGGGATAACAAAGATACGGCTTACCGTAAGAACTAGAATCTCGGAGAAATTAGAGCATGTTTGCGGACACGGAGTTTAGCCGAAAGAACGCTCCGCTGTTCGTGCTGATGAATAATTAATGACGGAGTGCTTCGTTAAGTAATAATAAAGGGAGATGCGTGTATAACTCGCGACCGTCCGTCGCCCTCATTAGAGTTCTCGGTGAAAGAAGTTTCAGAATGAAGCCATCACCTTCATTCAGTACTGTTGATGTCAGGGATGGATTGATGATTGTAAAGGCCCTGACACACAATCGTGATATGTAATAGATGCTCATATCGATAAAAAGGAACATTGAATAACGTCAACTCTCGATGGATGTTTCAATGACGCTCGAATGTTCGGTAAACACGTTCACGGCTCAGCTCCAATTCAGAAGCGAAACTTGTGTCCAGCTATACGGACAGAGAAAATTTTCCCTCTTCCGAGGAATCATAAATCAAAATAATGTTCATTGAACACAAGTCGAATTAACAATTTAATATTTACATTACACGAGTTATGAATGTGGAAGGTCATCAATGACCATATCAAAGATATCAATGTCGGCCGATCTTTATGATTGACGTTGCCCGAAATTCCAGAATTTATAACAATTGGTTTAAATCTTAATTAAAAAAGAATCTTGTGAATGAAACCATCTTGTGTTTTGAACGGAGCTATTTTTATCACACCAATCTTGATTTGGATTCGTTCGAACCAATTGTGACGGCAGCCTTGGAGCGGACTATTTTCGATGTGCTCTTCCTGTTTTCATATCGGCGAGAGAGAGAGAGAGAGAGAGAGAGAGAGAGAGAGAGAGAGAGAGAGAGAGAGAGAATAAAATCGACTAATTTGATCTGTACGTGGCTCACAACGAATCTCGCATGCCGGAAACTCGACGGTCAACGAAAATTCGAGGCTTCCTCTCGGAAGTGCTTACGATGCTTTGTCTAGAGTATTTTTTTTTATGCAGTTGATTGCGTAATTGCTTTTGTGATTCTTCCTTATCGTCAGGTTTACATGACACGGAAGTATGGTTTATGCAACTTATGTTATCTTTCCATACAAACGAAAGTCACCTGTGTCACATTGAGATTTGGAAGTGCAAAAGAGGTTTGGCGTCAGCAAAAGGACAAAGCATTGGCAATAATTTCAGGATGAGCAAAGTGTTGTTTGCTTCGAGGCCATATGAGAATGACTTGAGAAATGAAAATACGATTAACTCTCGTTCAAACAATTTTTAATCATTGAGCTTTCTTTGCTACATCTGACATCTGTACTATACATTGTGCAAAATTCCATCTTATACAGCTCATTAAAAGCTGAGTTAAAATTGCTCAGATGTGTGTATCCGAACTTGTTGTGATAAATAAAATATAAATATGTCATTTTGAAATTAAATTACTTTACGATGTTTTGATTGCTTTCTCTTTAAAATTGCTGGGATTTTGTTCACATTTAATTGTTTTTTAGAGAGCGGCAAGAATTGCTTGCCACTGCATCTCTGAAGGTTCGTCATGTTCCTATTTGCTTCCGCGAAGCTGCGGGCGTTTGTTATGCGGGTGACAATGTCAGAACCGGAAGCAAGGCTGTGACCCTCTTTCGAGGACAGCGTGCAGAAGTGCCGCTACCGCGTGTCATTCGATGAAACGGACCCACTGGCACGATTGCACTTTGTTTTGCATGGAATCAATTCCAGTACTGCGTTCAAGGACTTTCTCCTCAATATTCACTCGATCACTTTTCCAGAAATCTATTGCAAACGGTCACGTTCTGACATAGCTCGACCTAAAAGCTGGATCAGCAAACAAATATTTAACACATTCTTTCTCTTCCTCTTTATCCGCGGATGTTGCAGAAAGCTATCAGATCCTTGACTTCTATGAATTCCATTTTGGATAAGAAGTGCCGTTGCGGAGAAAAAATCTAAAAAATTATCAACTTCGCACATTACTCGAAAACACAGAGTTAAAATGATACCCTGTGTGTGGCATGTGGCGGCATGTGATTGTCGAGTCATCCGGTATTAAAGGATCGAGGGAGCTTCCCTCGATTGCTCGGCGAATCGACGACCGGCTGATTATGCATCGCGCAATTATAGCACCGGCGCAATTTGCGCCTCTCCCGCGTTGCGTTGAACAATTCTCTGTATGTTGCGAGTTACGCTCGCCGCCGTATCTTCATCAGTAATGCGTATAGATGATAATTTCCTTTTGCTTCTTTCACGCGTATGAATCAAACTTTTTAGACGATGCTCGAAAAAGAAGTCCTTGGTATATCTGGCGAGCATAATATGCGTGATTACATGCTTCGGCTTTCTGATCATGCTAACTAAAAGCTGTGAGAGATAAGTCAAAATTATGAAAGAGAAATCCATGAGGAACTTTTATGTGAATCAGAATAATTCTAGAATTAAATTGTGAAACGAATTCCGTGGCCGTTAGTTCGATTGTCGAACTCGCAGATAAAACCACGTTTGCGGTGTATGCAGTTTCAATTCTCACTTATCTAAAGGCTTGCATTCTAGTCAAATATTTGCGGACGTTATAGTCGCGATAACGTGGAGGCGTATTGGGTTGTTAGCTTTGCGGGGGGAGAAATTTCTACTTGAACACTTCAAGATCTCAATTCCGTCCCATGACATTCAGCGGAGCGTCGACGTGCTTTCTGGCGTTGCTTCCCGCGATGTGTACGAGAATCAGCGATTTATTAGCTTCGCTTCAATTTGTTTTCAGCGCCGCCCGACTGCGAGCTCGGTCAGATCACGTGTGGCCAGTATAGTTTCAACAAGACGTACTGTATACCCCCGCATCAACGATGCGACATGACCGTCGATTGCGTCGACGGTACTGACGAGGACGGCTGTAGTGAGTACAAATTGCAATCACTTCTGTCATCATTAACCCTTTCCGCTTACTTTTATCATCTGCATCGCGGTATTACTCCACCTACCCTTTATTCTACCTTATTTTTTAGCGATCGCTGTAGTGGTTTAGGCAGGGTTCGCCAACCTTTCTTGTATTTCGCACCTCTAAAAATTTATTAATGAACCTTCGCACCTCCTACAAGAAAAAATTATTCGTATTTATGGTAAAAATTAGTTGTTAGGATATTGAGGTAAGAAGTTAAAAATCAAAAAAGATGCTCAATTTCTAATAATATAAAATATATATATTTATAATAATAAAAAATATATAATTTTAACAATATTTTTTTAATTTGATGGTAAAAATGCCGGATTATTCCAGAATCCATCTTGATCATTATTAATTACAATCACTTTTCCTCGCACCCCCAAGAATGCTTTTTCGCACCCCCGATGGGAACCCCTAGATTTAGGCGAGATGTTCTAAAAAGGGATAAAAATGCATCCGGAATGTTATATTCTGTGCAAAAGCATGCACAATTGCGCATATATTATAATAGCCAGTGGTGGTAATATTCGGACTTCTTGTTAGTCAAGAACTATCCGAATACCCAATATAAAAAAAAAAAAAATTCCGAATAAACGGAATCATCTAAATTTTAGAGGATTTTGTTCTTATATATGGCCTCAAGAGGATTCCTCTAAAATTAAGAGGAAAATATTGTAAACACATTATTCTTAAAGTTCGAGGGATTATGTTATGTGTATAATGCAAATCTTATATTGATTATAATATTATATTGATTATAATATTGATTATAATATAAATTTCCTCTTATACATAGATTAAGCTTTTTTTAAGAGAATTATTATTTATTTTTACTGTACTTTATTCTTATTGATACTATACGTTCCTTTATAGGGAAAGGAGAGGAAATTATTACGAAGCTGTCCGGAAAAAATTCGATTTAAATTTTTTTTACTTTCTGCTGAAAAAATAGAAAAAGTCATAAATTTGTAATCTTAAGTACTCTACATGGCATTTATTTATGTAGTGTGCAACGCGATATGATAAATGGATATATGTATGTATTTACGCTGAAATGTGGGCTAGTATGTCTTTAAGTTAATTTTCTCCAAAAACTCTTGAACTTCGTTCATGACGAAACAACTGGGAAAAGCAACATAAACTGAATAACTCTCTTCTTTTTTCCTTTGCTCCAGACGTTGTCCTTAAAATAAATTGACGTGGTGACGATCGTCATATGCACAGAGAGAGTGTCTCTGTGTGAGTAGATGGGAGAGGAAAACCGCCGATAAGCGTTCTCTTCTTGATATAAGAGGAAAATTAACTTATGCAAGAAAAAATCTTCTTGAAATAAAAGGAAAACAGTTAGAATAATATCTAATAAATTTTAGATGAATGGTTCACTTTAATCGCTTTATCGAAAGAGGAATCCTTTTCTTGTAAAAGGCTTCGCTTAGAATATGAGATTATGGAAAAGTTGACTTTACAAATAGAATACTTTTTTTTGCGTGTTAAGTTTTTTGTTTGTTTTGTTGGGCTACTTCCTCTCGTACAATTAATAGCACTAATTACAACCGCAGGAAATAAACTAAAAAAATTTCAAGAAAGAATTGCTGTTTCTTGGAATTCTATTTGTAGAACGGTTGCGACACTTGTCTCACCAGTACAAAATCTTTATCTTCATTCAAGATTTCCGTCGTCTTCTCGACGAGTGTGTTGTGTCTTTTGCTTTGTTCATGTAGTCAAACGTGCTTGTGTTAACTGAGAGCTAATCTTTCGAAGTAGCAGGACTCATACAAGATTCGCCATAATATTCCGCGTAAAATCAACCGGCTCGAGCAGTTCCACGAGAGTCGATCTGGTCGAGACGGTGCGAAGAAACGCGTTTATTAATAAATGACCTCAAAGCCACCGAGTGCATTGTCTAAGAAGGCATTTGTAGGCATTATTAATTATTGCGGATACGCCGTGCCCAAAGACATAGTGTGATAACGCTATCGTCAGTGACAAGGCCATTCACATAAGTGCATGGCCAAGTAGCAGCTGTGTCCCGATTAGGCAGATTCTTTGCGGCTGTCATTGCTAAATTATCGCGTTGTCACGATAACAAACGATACTCCGTGGGTTGTAAAATCAGTGATATTACGCTCGCTGAAGTTATTAGACAAGTGAAGACTGCAGGCTTTCATAAACATCCTATCGATATCGATAACATTCTCGTCTTTTATTCTTCAAAACTGCGCCTTCCGAAGTTCAAACTTCTGCATTGTCCGCGATGATCAATTTCTCAAGTTCTCTACGCATGTCTTGCTTTACAATTCGCCGATAATTTTCAACTCTCTGCCTATCGGTATTGAATTTAAAGCGCTTCTAATCGCTACAATTGTACTTAAAAATCGCACGAGTACGTACGCCATTGTGACTGCAATTTACATTTTTCTTCGAAGGAACATAAAAGTAACGTTTCAGGACACTTCATGTCTGAATTAGCCCCAACTTTGAAATATCCCAAAGTCTCTCTCGCTTCTGCAGCTATCGCCGCGTTTATTGCACGAACCGAGCGAGAACAATCACGTTTTTGAATGACATATTGAACTCATTTCCTCGCCGTTTATCAACGGCGTAGACGTGTCGCAATACAGGTGATCTCCTCCGCTGCATATTGTGCGCAGCTAATGTGACTTATCGCGCTGCGATTGTTTAAACTCAGAAGCGTGATTAACTGGGGATCACCTTTTGACGTCCGTTACGTAAAAGCTACATATACTCTTCATTTGTCACGTTTTCCTTCCATAAGCACGTGCACGTAGATACGTTTATCGGTCATATGGTAAAAAGTATATCCTGCCTGCATGCAAGTGCGGTGCGGTGTTGCAACCTAATATCCTTCGCACAAAAATCATAGTCTTTGCAAATCTCATGACGCACGCTCTCGCGGCATATCCGCGGTGTCATCACGTGTTATCGTTCATTGGCGAGGTTCGTAAGAGCGAGAAAGGATGACAAGAGAGCGACGTTCGTTGCAGCATACAGAAAATGTCAGCCAGACGACTTCAGGTGCGTCGGCACCACGCCGGAGCTTTGCATACCCAAAGAGAAAAGATGCGACGGTTACTTAGATTGCCGAAACGGCAGGGACGAGGAAGGATGTGGAAATAACATGTCGAAGCCAGCCTGCCGGCTGGATCAGTTCAGGTGTAATACCACGCAGCGCTGCATCGACCAAAGTGCGAGGTGTAATCACAGGGACGATTGCGGTGACATGAGCGACGAGGAGCATTGTAGTGAGTTTGCAATTTTGCGGTGCACTTGCACAGTGTTTGACGTTGTCTTGCTTCCGGATGGACGAAAAGCGGATGAAATTTAAATATCTCGTTTATATTCCATTCTTTGGTCTCTCTTCGTTTTCTTGGGCTATGTTGGATTCGGTTCTCGAAGTGTTGGAACATCTCAATGGATGTGTATTTAATTAAAATTTAAATTCTGATGTACGATTCTTAAAGCAATTATCCCATCAGTATTAACAAGATTCTTTCATGATACACAGGTTTTCCACCTTGCACCAGCGATCAATTCCGGTGCGCCAATGCGCTTTGCATCCCTATAGCGTATCAATGCGATGGTTACACAGACTGCCACGATAATTCCGACGAGAGTTCCTGCACAATGACAGTTTGTCCAGGAAATAAGTTTATGTGCCCAAAGGGTGCACCAGATGGGAAGCCAATGTGCATCAATCGGTCTCAACTATGCGATGAAAAACAGGACTGCGAGGACGGGGCGGATGAGGAAGCGGCGTGTTGTAAGTGTACTGCACTATACTGTACTATCTTTGACGAACATTTAGTCCAGAAGATGGAACAGAATTGCATAAATTTATATTATTGTTTGCCCCAAGTCTATCCTAAAAGACCATGATAATAATATTTTCTGATAATTTTACAAACTTTATTTACAATTCTTATTATACAGCGATGAGTATGTGTGGTTTGCTCAACTGTCAACATAAATGTCAAGCGTCTCCCACTGGAGGGGCTTGCTATTGTCCCGAGGGAAGAATCCTTGCCAACGATTCAAGGACCTGCGTCGGTAAGTTATTCGAGTTGTAAAAGTCCAAATGTTTAGCGTCGAGTCGATTCGGAAATTTAACGTCTCCTAGTAAGAAAAGCACACTTGCCAAAAAGTTCACTCGTTATATTAATTTTCTTGCCGTATAGTACTCTAACCATCAACTGGATTTTTATTTGTGCAGATCGGGACGAGTGCTCAGAATGGGGCTTCTGTGAACAGCTGTGCGATAACACTGACGGTTCATACATGTGTAGTTGCGCTCTTGGTTACACCCTTCACGGTCGCAACAAATGTCGGGCCCAGAACTTCTCGTCTCTGGAGCTTTTGCTCGCTCAAGATCGCGCAGTGTGGCGATTAAGCGCCACTGGCGAGGATCGCAAGGTCATCGCAAATACGACCGGTGCTAGCGGGCTGGACTACATGTACTCGCGGGGCTTACTTTTCTGGAGTGACATGAAAACGCGAAAGGTGCATTCGGAGTCTCTGAATCTCGGTAACGTCGTACCGCGGAAAGTGGACATCAGTATGGCAGGATCTTGGGGACCCGTGTCCATCGCGGTGGATTGGGTTGGTGATAAATTGTACGTGGCGGACTCCATTGTGCAGAAAGTGGACGTATTCGAGCTGGACGGACGCTACCATGGAATCGTTGTGGGTTCCAATCTCACTAACCCGGCTGACATCGCATTGGATCCTACAAGAGGTCTCATGTTCATTGCCGACAGCAAGCAGGTTCTCCGCACTAACATGGACGGCACCAACGCGTTCCCTGTAGTCTCAGAAGCGGCTTATAAAGTTTCTGGAGTGGCTGTGGATATTATCGCCAAGAGGATTTATTGGTGTGACTCATTGTTGGACTATATCGAAACGACAGACTACCGAGGCCGCAACAGAGTTATGATTCTCAGAGGACCTCAAGTGCCATCCCCAATCAGACTCACCCTCTTCGAGAATAGGATTTACTGGTCGGACAGTACTAAGCAAGCAGTCATGAGTGTCGACAAAACTCAGGGAGATTATTCCATCCAAAGCGTGTTTAAGGTACGAAAAATGGTGATTGGTCGATTCAACGAGTTTATCGTATATTTAACTCCATGGAGTGATCGTATATTTAACTTGATGGGTAATATCTCTTTAAGATACGCGATGCTAAAGCTATAAAAGCACTACATCCTCTTGTGCAACCCAGCGTCTCTAATCCTTGTGGCAACAACAATGGTGGTTGTCAGCACATGTGTATCGTCACTGCCTCCAGCGACCAGAGCAACCGGCTAGGCTATCGTTGCGCCTGCCATATTGGATGGCGATTAGCGAGCGACATGAGAAACTGCAACTTGGTGCAGGAGTTCCTTATGTACTCTCAACAAAGGTTCATCAAAGGTCGCGTACTCAATCCAGTAATGGAAGGTTTCAGCGATGCCATCTTACCGGTGGTATCCAGACGAGCGCGATTCGTTGGACTGGATTATGACGCACACGACCAGTACATTTACTACAGCGATGTTCTTCAAGATGTCATATACAGGGTACACCAGAATGCAACCGGACGAGAAATCGTCTTGGCCAGTCAAAACGAGGGAGTGGAAGGACTCGCAGTTGATTGGGCTGCCAAGAATTTGTACTATATCGATTCACGTAAAGGTCTGTTGAACGTCTTTTCGAACGATCCTACTTTATTTAACAATTAACAAATTTGTATCAATTAATTCCGTAATTTTATCAAATATTTTGCACTTAGTAAGAGAAAGTTGTTCGTCTTAAATATAAAATATAATTTATTTTTAGCCGATAAATTTTGTTTGCTTTCTCAGGCACACTGAATGTCCTCAGCACTAGGAATGTCACATATCGGCGAACACTATTGAAGAATCTGAAGCGACCTCGCGCAATTGTAATCCATCCGAACCATGGTTATATCTTTTTCTCTGAATGGGACCGTCCAGCCAACATCAGCAGGGCGCACGCTGACGGTTCCAACCTAGTCGTTTTCCAGAACTTAACTTTGGGTTGGCCGAACGGTTTGGCGATTGACTTTAACAAGGACCGATTGTACTGGTGTGACGCTCTTTTAGACCACGTGCAGCATTCAAATTTAGACGGCACGGACGTACGAACGGTCGACTCCAGACTAATCCGACATCCGTTTTCCATTGCCATTCATGAGGAGTGGATGTACATTACTGATTGGCGTTTAGACGCCATTATTCGACTTCATAAGGAAACCGGTGAGCAGGAAGCGATCTTGGTTCGTGAGCCGGCCACCAATAGACTTTATGGCGTGAAGGTCTTCAGCCGTGAAATTCAGATGACAGCACCTAACCATCCTTGCACTATCAACAATGGGGGTTGCGAAAAACTTTGCTTCGCTATTCCGGATAATTCTTCGCATTCCGACGCCATTGTTTTCCCTGAACCTGCGAACAAGTCCCCACAGAAGCTTATTCAAGTATGCGGATGTCCCTACGGAGAACGTCTTCAAGGCAATGGTAGGAGTTGCGCAGCGGACCCTGATGGGGAACCACCCTTGCAAGCTTGTCCGCATACTTGGGATTTTACTTGCGCAAATCAGAGGTATCACATATGTACAACGATATGATTTCTTGATTCGATAATTTAAGATGTATCTATTGGCGTATGTGTCGGTGTAAACAATCCAGCTCATAACTGATTGTACTTTCAGATGTGTACCAAAGTCTTGGGTGTGCGACGGCGAAAACGACTGTCTCGACAACAGCGATGAAACGCAAAACTGCACGAAACCAACTTGTGGTGCGAATGAATTCCAATGCAAGTCCGGCCGCTGTGTACCAATAACATTCCACTGTGACTCCGAAAACGACTGCGGCGATTATAGCGACGAAATGGGCTGTCCAAATGTTACGTGTAGCGCAAACCAATTCGCCTGTGCCAACAACAGGTGTATTCCCGCGACCTGGAAGTGCGACTCTGAAAACGACTGCGGTGACAGCTCCGACGAGGGCGAGTTCTGTGCAGCGAAAACCTGTTCGTATTTCCAGTTCACCTGCCCACGTTCCGGCCATTGTATACCGCAATCTTGGGTGTGTGACGGAGACAGTGATTGTTTCGACCAACAAGATGAGATGGACTGTCCACCAGTTACTTGTCTCAGTACGCAATTTACGTGCGCCGATCAGAAGATGTGTGTTTTATCATCGTATAAGTGCGACGGTATTAGTGACTGTAATGACGGTTCCGATGAAGTAGGTTGCCCATCGTTGGCACCGGATCAGTGTAATCTCGATAAACAGTTCCAATGCGTTAGCTCAGCCATCTGCATACCTAAAAATTGGTATTGCGACGGTACCGCGGATTGTCCCGACAAGTCCGACGAGCCAGAATCCTGCGGAAAGATCGACTGTCAGCCTGGATTCTTCAGGTTTGTTTTTTCGTTGGTTAAATTTCTCGAGATCCTTTATCTCCGGCGGATTTCAATCAGATAAACATTAAATATTCTTTATGAAGTTACCCAAATCTAAACTAATTTAATTTTACTCGTTAATTTATTTTCTTAGATGCCAAAACGACAAGTGTGTGTTCAAGGCGTATATCTGCGATGGCAAAGACGACTGCGGTGACGGCTCTGATGAGAACACCGAGCTGCATGCGTGCGGACCTCCTCCATTTAAATGCGACTCCCAGCAGTGGAGATGCCCGAATGTGACGAATCGTTGTATACCCACGGTCAATGTATGCGATGGCAAACCGGATTGCCCGAATGGCGGAGATGAAGGATTTGGTTGCGATCTCTCCGAATGCACTCATCAAGCTGGACTGTGTACTAATGATTGTTTTCAAACACCAATTGGCGCGCAATGTTCTTGTCCAGCTGGCGAAGAACTTACTAGCGATGGTTACACATGTCAAGATATGAACGAGTGTGAACCGCCAGGGAGATGCTCACAGATCTGCGTGAACACGAAGGGCAGCTATTACTGTAACTGTGTAGAGGGTTACACGTTGGAGAAAGACAAGCACACTTGCAAGGCGTTTAACCACAGTGCTGCCTTCTTAATTATTTCCAATAGGCATACTATTCTGGTGGCTGACCTTCAGGATCAAGCATTGGAACGGGTTCCTATCAATGTGGAAAACGTTGTGGCGACCGCCAGCAATATGCATACTGGTACAATCTTTTGGTCCGATATGAAGTTGAAGCGAATCTCGCGATTGGATCGTGGTAGTGATCCTCAAGACATCATTAGTACTGGTCTAGACTTGGTAGAAGGTCTTGCTTACGACTGGATTGGTCATAACCTGTACTGGTTGGATTCTAAGTTGAATACGATTGAAGTAGCTAAAGAAACTGGAGCTGGAAGAATGATACTCGTTAAGGCGAACATCACACAACCTCGTGGAATGTGTTTGGATCCCAGTCCACGTGCAAGATGGCTCTTCTGGACTGACTGGGGAGAAAATCCTAGAATCGAAAGAATCGGAATGGACGGTAATAATCGATCAACCATCATCAGTACGAAGATCTATTGGCCTAACGGTTTGGCTTTAGACATCGCGAATCGCAGAATCTACTTTGCGGATAGCAAGCTCGACTTTATTGACACTTGTCTCTATGATGGCAGTAAGAGGATTCAGGTTTTAGCCAGCTCCCATTATCTTTTGCATCCTCATTCTCTTACACTCTTCGAGGACACTATGTATTGGACTGATAGACAGCTTAATCGAGTGCTGTCAGCGCACAAGTTCATGGGCTCCAATCAGACGGTGGTGTCGCATTTAATCTCGCAGCCTCTTTCCATACATGTACATCATCCGGTATTACAGCCAATTACACCAAATCCTTGCGCTAATGCAATGTGCGAACATCTGTGTCTTCTATCGCACAATAATCCAATGGGATACAGTTGCAAGTGCCAGGTAAGCAGCGGATGAAAGACACCATATAAAAATAATGAGTGATTCAAGATAACAATTATCCAGGACATACGTAATTTATTTTTGCTAATAATATTCATTCCAGGTTGGATTCAAATTGCTGTCCAATGGACGATGCATGGAAGAAGAAACGCCATACTTGATGATTCTCCGAGGATCACAGATCGTTGACGTTTCCTTGACGCCTGGAGAAGTAAAAACTGGGTATATTACACCTGTTGTCGGTGTGGAAAACGGAAGATTTATCGATTACGATCGGAATAATCGTGTCATCTATTGGCTGCAAGGTACGACACGATCTACAAAGAACAATGGAATTATTCTTTTATCAAATTCTTATGATTTAAATATTTCCAAAGTTAATTAACATTTATTTTTTTAAATCTTCGAGAATTTTTTAAATCAGTTTATTAATCATCAGGCAAAGATGGCGACGACGAGAATGGCACAGTTTATACCATTCCCTACAACGGTGGTAACAGGACAGAGTTCCCTAATCCCGAAGGCGATAGTGGCATCGTTGGTTCACCATCTACTATGGCGTTGGATTGGCTTGGCCGTAATTTATTTATTGGCAACAAGTTCGCATCCAACATCGAAGCTATTAAATTGGACAGCAAAATGCGTTTTCGTACAATAATTTTGGCAAACGATGGCAACCGGACATCGGTTTCTAAACCAAAAGCAATGTGCGTAGATCCTATCGATGGACAGGTGTTTTGGGTGGACGAAGGTGGTTTTGGAGTACCCCAAAAAATCGGACGAGTAAACATGGACGGTAGTAATCCATTGGTTCTTGTGGAAAATTTGGAACGTCCTGAGGCTATCACTATCGATATTCCTAGCAAGACGTTATACTTTTCCTGCCAAAATCCAGCTTTTATCAAAGCCATGTCAACAGACGGTTTAAACGTCCGCACTATCCTCACTGCGGCGAATAACCTAGCATTGCCGAAGGCATTAGCCGTACATGATTCTCGCTTGTATTACTTGGATCCACTTTACGATAAAATCGAACGTGTCGATTTACCTAATGGCGATAATCCAGTCACGCTCATCGATAACGATTCGGAGCTTCGTACTCTAACTATTTATAAGAAACGTGCCACTGGATCTCACCCTTGTCTTAACAATAATGGCGGCTGCGAACAGATTTGCCTGCCCGCGTCGGGAGGCACTCGTGTTTGTGCTTGTGGAATAGAATATAGAAAAGTCGCTGATGGTAAATGTGAGCCTTACAAGACATTCGCGGTGGTCACTCAGCTAGATGTTGCTAGAGGCTACAGTCTCAAGGATTCCAAGGAGGCCATGGTGCCAATCGCTGGAGTTGGTCATCATATTCTGCACGTGGACGTGCATTATGCGGGCAATTGGATATATTGGGTGGAGTTTAATCGAGGCATTTGGAATGGTATCTTTAGGTAAAATCAAACTATCATATGTATGAGTGCTAAAATATACAAATATTCAAATCATACATTTGTCCGCCAAGATGTAGTGCCATTCAAATATCATAGCTTAACTGTCATAGCTTAAATTTCGTTTCAGAATACGACCTAACGGCACAGAATTGCAACAAGTGATCAAACAGGGAATTGGTTCTAATGGAATCCGCGGTCTGGCCGTGGATTGGATCGCTGGAAACTTGTACTTTGCTAATGTCTTTCCTCATGACAACTATGTAGAGGTTTGCAGGTTGGATGGCTCCAATCGAAAAGTACTTGTAAAGACGACAACGGATGCTCCTCGCGAGTTGGCTGTGAATCCCATCAAGCGATACCTATATTGGATTGATTATGGACAGTATCCTCGAATAGGCAAGGCTTACCTCGATGGTAGCAACTGGTCCCCTATTGTGACATCTGGAATTAGCACACCACGTGACCTGACGATCGATCCTGCGACACATGATATTTATTGGGTGGACTCTAAACTGGATACCATTCAGAAAGTGTCCTATACCGGCGGGGGTCGAGAAATCATCCGTAGGAATTTACCAAATCCAATGGGCGTCGCCATTTTCATCGGAGATGTCTATTGGGTAGACCGGAATTTAGCCACCGTTTTTAAAGCAAGTAAATTGAAAGGCAACACTAGTCTTCCCATACCTGTCAGGACCAATCTACAAAAGCTCAGAGACATCGTCATTTTTGATCAGAGCAGCCAGCCCTCAGATATAACCAATCCTTGTAGTCAGGTATTTGAAATGAATTGAGAAATATATATGTGCGGTTATTTATTAAAAAAAAAATTGCTTCTAAAGAAATGAAATCGTCGTATAATTATTAATGAAAATAATTTTTCTTTTCTCAGGAAATGAATAATAGCGGTTGCTCTCAGTTGTGTTTTGCTTTCCCGAAGGACAATGTTAAACCGTTCACTTGCGATTGCGCGGTGGGCAAACTTTCTGCCAACGGTCACACCTGCGAGAATGTGGAAGAATATTTAGTTTTTGCTACGCGAACAGAGATTCGCGCCATAAATCTAGATCCGCACAATACCAATGTGCCTTTTGCGCCTGTTGGCAATCTGACAAATGTAGTCGGTGTAGACTTTGATTATCAAGATAAGAAGTTGTTGTTTACTCAAATTCGTCCTTGGGCGAAGATTGCGTGGACACCGTCCGACCGGCCGTCTTCTTCCGATTTGCATACGTTGATTAGTAAAGGAATTAATCCTGAAGGCATTTCCTACGATTGGACTCAAAAGAAGGTGTATTGGACGGACTCATCTAATAACAGCATCTACGCGATGGACATCGATGGATCCAATTTGGTGATGATTGCACGGGTGGACCGTCCACGCGCTATCGTTGTCGATCCTTGCAACGGATCGCTTTACTTCACTGACTGGGGTCGTTTCGGGACGTCCGGAAAAGTTTTTAAGACGACTATGGCGGGCTCGTTGAAACGAGCCATTATCGACAAGGATCTTTCGCAGCCCAGTGGTCTGGCGATTGACTACGACGATCGCATGCTGTATTGGACCGATGCTGTGCGCGAGAAAATCGAACGATCCGATCTCGAAGGAAATAACAGAGAGATTCTAGTTAGCGCTACCATATATCCCTTCGCCATCACTGTCTTTAGAGGGCACATCTATTGGACGGATCTGCAACTTCGTGGAGTTTATCGAGCGGAAAAGCATACTGGAGCCGACAAGATCGAGCTGGTGAAGCGATTGGAGGACTCCCCGCGAGACCTTCACGTCTTTTCCGCCGCCAGACAACAATGTACCGTTAATCCTTGCAACATCAACAATGGCGGCTGCGATCAGTCCTGCCATCCAGGCCACAACGGCTCTGCAGAGTGCAAGTGTGACGACAACAGCAGGCTGGTGAACGAAAACAGGATGTGCGTACCAAAGAACGTTACTTGCAACGACAGCAAGTTTGCTTGCAGAAATGGTAGGTGTATCTCCAGAATGTGGGCTTGCGATGGCGACGATGACTGTGGTGACGGCTCCGATGAGAACGCAAGTTATTGTTGTAAGTATGAACAGTTGGAAGTAAAATAGAAGCGAGTGTGTTGTCGATGCTAGAAAGATGCTAGGAGAATTGTTTGTTAAATATCTTCTTCATTTTAGCCTATCACTCATGCAGTCCGAATGAATTCCGCTGCAATAACGGTCGATGCATCTTCAAAACGTGGAAGTGTGACCACGAAAATGACTGTCGGGATGGTAGCGACGAAGAGGGATGTGTTTACCCGCCGTGTGCGTTAGGTGAATTCACTTGTGCAAATTACCGTTGCATTCCGCAGTCACAGGTGTGCAATGGCATCAACGACTGTAAAGATAATGTCACCTCGGATGAAACTCACGAGCGTTGCCCTCGCAATACCACGTGTCCCTTGAATCATCTCAAATGCGAGAAAACAAATATCTGTGTGGAACCCTATTGGCTTTGCGATGGCGACAACGATTGCGGCGACAACAGTGATGAGAACCCTGTCCATTGTGCTCAGAGAACCTGCCCACAAAATAGTTTCCGATGCCCTAATCACAGGTAAAACCTCGCATTCGATGAACAATTCGATAACTTGATAATCAAATTTTTTCAGAAATATTTGGAAAATTACATCTTTCTACAAATATTCTAATGTTCTTATATAAAATAGACGATATTGTATTGAAATAGGAGGATATTGTCTATTACAGGTGCATCCCAGCTACTTGGTATTGCGACGGAGACGACGATTGTCTGGATGGAAGCGACGAGCCTCCTGGTTACTGTCAATCCGAGGGTAGAACATGCTTTGGTGACTTATTCACGTGTGACAACGGCAACTGTATTCCTAGGATTTACATATGCGACGGTGACAACGATTGTCTGGACAATTCTGACGAAGATGAACGTCACCAATGCAGTAAGTGTTTTAATTACATATTTATGTGTTTATTTCATTTATTTCATCGTTTTATTTGTTACCATTTACTTATTTTTTGGTACTGATAACATTTTGATGAAACTTCCAGATGACAGAAAATGTGATGAAGAAACTGAATTTACTTGCACCGCGAATAAAATGTGGAATCGCGCTCAGTGTATTCCCAAGAAATGGTTGTGCGACGGGGATCCGGATTGTGTGGATGGAGCTGACGAAAATGTAACTTTACACCATTGCCCAGCACCGACGCCTTGTGGTGACAATCAGTTCACCTGCAACAACGGGCGATGCTTGAATCGCAGCTGGCTGTGCGATCATGACAATGATTGCGGTGACGGCAGTGACGAGGGCAATTTTTGCAACTCCCAGTACAAGCATTGCAACAGCCAAGAATTCACTTGTCAGAATTTCAAATGCATACGCAAGCAGTTCCGTTGTGACGGCCAGGATGATTGTGGTGATCATTCGGACGAAGTAGGATGTCGTAAGTATAATTTGACTATTGCGTATCAATCATTAATTGTTATATAATTGATTTTTTAACGCATTCGAACTTGGATATAAAAAGAAGTACGGAGGTAAATTTAGGTAAATTTCAACTTTTTAAATAAACGTGTTAAATAAATCATCCCACCTTTTTTAAACTTCATGATACGAACAACTTTTGGAAACTTTTGCGACTAAACTATTACTTCGATCGACAATCACGAGTTATGCTTCCTTTGCAGCGTCTAAAGGGAAGAACACCACATGTCCAAATCCAAAGGACTTCATGTGCGCGAATGGCAACTGCATTGACTCACAACTGGTGTGCAATAAGGAGCCGGACTGCGCCGATGAAAGTGATGAACCCTTGCACTGCAATGTGGACGAATGCGCACGTATCGAGTTGAATCAGTGCGGACACAAATGCGTAGACACCCCGACTAGTTTCTACTGTGAATGCAACCCTGGCTACAAGTTGTTGGATGACGGCAAGGCCTGCGAAGACATCGACGAGTGTATCGAGACACCTCAAGTGTGTAGCCAACAGTGCGAGAACACGCCTGGCAGTTATTATTGCAAATGTAACGAACGCTGGTACGAGAGAGAGGCGGACGAGCACACGTGCAAACGTAGAGACAACATTCAACCATGGATCATATTCACGAACAAATATTATGTCAGAAACATGTCAATCGACGCGCGCAATTATAGCCTGATGCATCAGGATCTCATCAACGTTGTCGCGCTGGACGCTGATTATACGGAGCAAATGCTGTACTTCTGTGACGTTACTGCGAAAACGATATATAGGTCCGTCCTAGGTGTTTTGCTTAGCATTAAAGTATCTGAATATGAATTGTTCCAATTAATGGATTTATCTACAATTTGGATTAATATTAAGTAGTCAAGTTAAACTTACTTAAAGTTCGAAAATTACTATTTGTTATTTACTTTTTTTTAGAGCACCGATAAACGGTGGTGAAAGAGAAGCTATTATTCGTCACGATAGCTTGGGTCTGGAAGGAATAGCTATCGACTGGGTTGGCCGAAAATTGTATTGGTTAGATCGTCACGCAAAACACTTGGATGTGTCAGAACTTGACGGTACCAACAGGAAGACCTTGCAGTCCGGAATAGCAGATCCTCGCGCTATCGCAGTTCATCCCGGCACTGGATATCTATTTTTCACATCGTGGCATCTTCAGGTGAATTTTACATACTCGCGCAGCTCAGTTGTTTGCTAATCATTCTACAGCAAGCCAAGTTGCGAGAGTTTATTTGAAGCTATTCGAAAATGTCTTCCTCAATTTCAGGCGTATATTGGTAAGATGGGCATGGACGGAAGCAACTTCACCCGAATTCTGACATGGGAAGACGACATCGCCTGGCCAAACGCTCTGACCATCGATTACTTCACCGATCGTATATTCTGGGCCGATGCTCACTTGGATTATATTGCCTTCGCCGACCTCGAAGGTCATAATCGACGGATCGTTCTGTCGGGCACATCAGTGCCACATGTCTTCGCTATTACTGTATTCGACGATTTCATTTACTGGACCGATTGGAATCTGAAAGCCATCAGTAGGGCGGAGAAATTCTCTGGTGCTAAACTGAAGATGTTACGCAACACTACCCATCGACCTTATGATATCCATGCATACCATCCTCTTAGACAACTGCCTTACAATAATCCCTGTGCGGAGAACAACGGTGGTTGCTCGCATCTTTGCCTTATCGCACCGCCAGCCAGCTCATACCTGCTTGAAGGATACGGCCAACCTGGTGTTACCTCCTACAAATGCGAGTGTCCGAATCAATTTAGCCTGGACAAAGACGGCAAGACGTGTATCGCGAACTGCACTGCGGGTCAGCATCGTTGCGGGCCGCCCGATGAGAAGTGTATTCCTTGGTATTGGAGGTGAGATACATTTGTACTGTATTTTCTGCCAGATTTTTAGCGGAATATTCAAGGAGAAATTACGCCGCAGGTGCGATGGAGAGAAGGACTGCAAGGACGGTTCTGACGAATCATCCAGTTGTCCGCCGAGGAATTGTGGACCGAGTGTGTTCCAATGTGCAAATGGTAATTGCACGCCGACCGTGACAATTTGCGATGGGTCTGATGATTGCGGCGACAAAAGCGACGAAGCCAAATGTGCGCTCGAGTGTGGGGAACTTGAATTCAAGTGCAAATCAAACGGTCGTTGTATACACGATTCTTGGAAATGCGACGGAGACGCTGACTGTAAAGACGGTAGCGATGAGGATCCCGTTATTTGTCGTGAGTACAACATTTCGTATATTGTTAAATATCCTTTCTTAACGATAATATAGTAACAAGATTAAATGCTTTAAATAAATATAATGATATAAGTTAATTAAATTTTTTTTTTTAATTTCCCAAATTTAGAAAATACCCGTTCAATATTGTATCAGTAAATATGTCAAATAAGTCTAAGCGATTAAAATCTAAGGGATACTATCTTTAGTTGACGAAATAAGATAAATAAGATAGGAAAAGGGCAAACGTCAGACCTGTGATAAGCTCAGTAATAAGACTCTCGCTCGGCAAGCCAAGGATCCCGAGTTCGAGTCCTAGTTTGGTCAATTTCATTCTGATACTTTTTTGTCTTTTTCTCACATAAGTAACAATAATTCATCGCAATCAACTTTATTTTCAACTTTCAATTTTCCTTGGTCTATTTAATTGTACCGTTATCTTAGATAACCGAACTTGCGATCCGAGCACTGAATTCAGCTGCAAGAATGGCAAGTGCATCCCCAAACTATGGATGTGCGATTCCGACAATGATTGCGGAGATGACAGTGACGAGCCGGCCTACATGTGTCGACAAAGGAATTGCACGACGGGATGGCAACGGTGTCCAGGACACGCGAACTACCGATGCATTCCGAAATGGCTGTTCTGCGACGGCAAAGACGATTGCCGTGATGGCTCCGACGAACGTCCGGAGAACTGTCCGAAGTGCGATCCTAGTATGGACTTTAGGTGCACCAATAATCGGTGCGTGCCGAAACAATGGCTTTGCGATTTTGCCGATGATTGCGGAGACGGTAGCGACGAGGCGGAAGCGATGTGCAAGGATAAGTATCGCGAGTGCTCCGAGTCTGAGTTCAAGTGCAAAAATGGCAAATGTATCGCATCCAGATGGAGGTGCGACAGTGAAGATGATTGTGGCGATGGCAGTGACGAAGAAGAATGTCATCGATGGGTGTGCAAGGTATGCAAATGCCTTAGAGATTCGTCAGAAGAGATTTTTACAGCAATATAAGTTTACGTGGACAGAAGAAACTAATAATGCGTCTAATGCGCAAAAGAATAAAAGAGATATGTATGTAATATCCCTTTTCTGCGTTGTAGAACGATAGTTTCCAATGCACCAGCGGTCACTGCATCGCGTCCTATCTTCGTTGCAATGGAGCGCGCAACTGCCGCGACATGAGCGATGAAGTCGATTGTCCACCGAGATATCCCGGTGGAAGATATTGCCCGCAATCGCGATTCCAGTGTGACAACAATCTCTGTGTCGCACAAACTGACATCTGTGACGGTACCGATGATTGCGGCGACAATTCCGACGAGAACCCAACCATGTGTGGTGAGTTCATTATAATATTAATACATGTTAATCTCCATTTTCCACAGGAATGTAAAATAACGCTACTGTATCTGCGCAGCAAACTTCGAATGCGATACACACAGACGATTCCAGTGCGCGAATCACAAGTGCATCGCCAAGTATCAACTGTGTGACGGAATCGACAATTGTGGCGACGGCTCCGATGAGAATAACATGACGATTTGCGTCAAACAGATGCGCCCGTGCGACCCTATGTCAGAGTATACCTGTGCGAATAAAAAATGCATCGAGCGGCAGAAACTCTGTGATCTCGCGAATGATTGCGGTGACTTGTCGGACGAGTTGGGATGTCGTGAGTTTTTTCGATATGTTTCTTTTCCTTTTACTGTGCTCTATTTAATCCATACTACAAAGTAGCCGTTTTACGTTTTACGTTTCGTCAGATCATAATCAGCACTGCTTAGAGACCGATCGCGGCGGCTGCGCTCATCAGTGCCACAACATTACTGACGGCGGCTACATCTGCGCTTGTTATCCCGGTTATATAATCTCGCCAGACAACCGGAAGCATTGTGTGGATATTGACGAATGTCAAACCGGCCAACATCAATGCTCCCATATTTGTACCAACTTGAACGGCTCGTACGCCTGTTCTTGCCGGCAAGGTTTCCAATTATCGGACGGCCATAGTGGTGTTTGTCGTGTCGAAGATGACGACGTAGTCGTATTATTTGCTAATGGACCCGAAGTCAGAGCCTATGGTTTGCATACTAACGAAGAAATGGACGTGATAAGTGACGAGAAGAAGGTGCAAGCTATCGATTTTGATCCTAAAGCAGAATACGTTTTCTGGATTGATTCATACGATAACACTATCAAACGATCCTACATGGTGAACGCCAAAAAGGGCGAAGCAAAAATTGGATATGCGCAGGACCTCAATATGAAGAGTATGTATTATTCAATTCGTTGATTGTTAATTTGTTGGTTAAGTGTCTGTGAAGTTAGCACGACGTTTTAAAAATTATTAACAAACAATGTCAGGTCCAGTAGCATTTTTCGTAGTTCTACAGTTTCTGATAAAAATAAAAAGAAATTCCATATTCTTAATACTAAAAAATCGAAATTGAAAAAATGTCGTGCTAACTTCACGTTTCAGCACGACAGTCTCCTCTAAAGTACCAGAAACCGGTGAATAATACGCTTTTTGACGAGAGTTCCCGTTAATGCTAGGCTAGTTCTATAACTATGAAGCAGTTCAGAATAAAACTGCAACGATTAACAATTTTGTACAATTTTAAATATCGGCAGCCAGTACGATACACTCGGCGCAAACATGTCGTGCCGTCGACTTCTTGTACTTCTGACGGTAGTTCTAGCTTGTTCTATTCGAGTCCTATACAATTCAATTATTTTCAATTATTGTTCCGCCATATAATATTATTATTAAATTAATTTTAGCCTTTGGCGCCAGCATGACACTCGATGAAAACATGTGTCGTGCTGGCTGCCAATATTTAAAATTGTACAAAATTGTTAATCGTTGCAGTTCTATTCTGAACTGCTTCATAGTTATAGAATTAGTCTAGAACTAACGGGAACTCTCGTAAAAAAGCGTATTATTCACCGGTTTCTTGTACTTTAGAGGAGACTGTGTCGTGCTGGAACGTGAAGTGAGCACGACATTTTTCAATTTCGATTATTTCGTATTAAGAATATGGATCTTTTTTCTATCTTTATCAGAAACTGTAGAACTATAAAATATGCTGCTGGAACTGACATTGCTTTTTAATAATTTTTAAAAGTCGTGCTAACTTCACAGACACGTTGGTTAATTAGCATTTAAATTTAAACCAAGAGAAAATAAATTTTTATTTCTTTATGAAATTTCTTATTGAAGGAATCAACTTTAAAAATTCAATACTATTTTTAGAGACACACATACATAAGTACTATTACCTGATTAATAAATTAATAATGTAATATTTTTAGTATCTATTGATAATATCAATGTTCGCAGCTGAATCTAAACCGACGAGTCTGGCAGTAGATTGGATTTCCGACAATTTATATTGGAGCGAACTCGACGAAACAGGAGCTACTTCTCACGGTCGAATCATGGTGTCCAAGTCGGACGGCAGATATCGACGTAGCCTAGTCACTGTAAATCTCGAGCAACCAACCTCGGTAGCCGTGGATCCCGAACGAGGAGAACTCTTATGGGCTGATGCAGGTAGTCAGCCAAAGATCGAAATAGCTTGGATGGATGGTGATAGACGTCAAATGCTTGTATCGGAGCGAATCGCTAATCCTTCGGCACTCACCATCGACTATGCCATGGAACATACGCTCTATTGGTCTGACAGCAAATTGGATACCATCGAAGCAATCAGTTTAACTGGCACCAATAGGAGAGTCGTCTTAAAGGGTAGATCCCTTAAGAATCCAGTAGCATTGGATGTTTTCGAGAACAATCTTTATTGGACCACCAGGCAAACAGGCGAGCTTATTCGACAAGATAAATTTGGCAGAGGAGTGCCGAATGTTATTGTCAAGAATCTCCCTAGTCCCGGAGGCGTTAGGGTTTATCATCAGCTGAGATATAACACTACATTGAGAGACCCTTGTCACAATGATCAGTGCACTCATCTTTGTGTTACAATCCCTGGCGGACATCGTTGTCTTTGCTCAGACAGTGTTGGTCCTCTTCAACGACCTATCAGGGATAACGAGAGGCATTGTGACGCTACTAATGAAAGGCCCTTACCGGCACCTAGGATATGTCGTTGCCAAAATGGCGGGCGATGCCAAGAGATGGATGATAAGCTGGCATGTAACTGCCGTGAAGAATTTCATGGTGAATTCTGTGAAATGGCGGCGGTTGCTGCTATAGCAGGCGGGTCTACCGCTGCCATAGTTATTCCTGTAGTTGTGACTCTGCTAGTACTGTCCGGTATTGCTGCAGTCTTTATGGTTCTCAAGAAGCGGCCATTGTAAGTAATAGTTTTAGGTAAAATATAATACTCGTACATAATACAAAGACAATATCACCCTTCGTAATACATGACCATTGTCTATAGCAGTAAGCCCGGTGGCCTGAGCAGTCTCACTGGTGCTCAAAGTGTCTCCTTCCGTCAAGGCAGCAACGTAGAGTTTGGTTCAGCTGCTCACGAAAGGATGGTGAGTTTCTTGTTCAAATTATTATTTTATATCGTTCAAAATGAACTTCATTAAAAAGACTTTAATAAATTTCGTTAAACGAACTCTTAAATTTCAGGCACGTTAATAAATTCTTTCCATGTTTTATAATTATTATTTTTATACTCGCAGGAGCCTCTCGATGTTGAGTACAATCTCAACGACGTCACCAATAAGAATCGAGACTTTAGCAATCCAATGTACGATGCGGTGAATATGGAAAGTGGCGCTACAAACGGTACCGGTGCCAGTAGCATGTATGAAGTGCCGGCAGAGATGAAACCCTCCAGTGTACAGCACAAAGAACCCCCGCAACTACATCTAAAGAGGAGAGAACTAGACCCAACGCCCATCGACTCGGGCAAGGACACCCAGCAACTGGTCGAGGAGGACAAGTCCGAATGCTAGGACTAACCTATATTTAGGGATTTCTTCATACCTATCGTGCTTCGAACTCGAAACGTAAATCGACATGTTTCACGAGAGTGGGTAATATACAGGGACACAACACAAATTAGCTCATCATTTTTACGTAAACAGTGCGAATTACCTGCAACTACTCGTTATTTATTAAGAAGGCAATCGAACAAGATTCTTTTTTAACGTGTGGCGACTGATTGATGATGAGGTTCTGTCTTATTTAGCGATCTCCGAACATGAATATTTCGAGAGATCTCCGAGTTCTTTGAGGATAAGAGGATAATAGAAAAGAGGAAAAACTTGGATGAAAAAATTTGAGAACGTTGCTGTCTCGAATTTAGCATAAAAGAATTTTTGTACAATAATTACGAAAGATCCGAATCTTTGTATATCCAGGCACCTAACCAGGTTCTTGACACACATTTAGGCTGTTAACTTCCTGCATTCCCAGACCGAAGGATTTTTGGTACGCAGCTTCTTATGAATCCATAGGTCCTTTGAACCAAAAATTTGTGAACTAGTTCTGGGATCCTGGAATCCTGGATATTATAGGACGATAGAGGATAGAGGACAGACGAGGTTGCGAATTGATAGCATCAATTTAACGGGGAGAATAGGCTGAGAACGAATGGCAATAGGCACGATTTTATTGTGTCATTTTTTACTAGGTGTGATTTGTAAGTCTTGTAAATATAATTGCTAACAAAATATAATATTCATGTTATCCTTGTATCATAAAAGACGCAACACATTCCATTCTCTCTCAAGGTTGCTGCTTGAAGTGTAGTGATAGCACACTTCTAATTGTTAGAACGTGTATGTATATGTGTGTATATGCGTGCACGTGCGCGCAGTACTCGAATTGGTACGTTAAATTTCTTGACGAGCCTCCAAACCAGCTAGCATATCTGTACACTGTGTATTGGTACTTTCCATCCGATTTTATAAAGTATAATTATATTATGATATAAGAAAAAGATAGTTCTTCTCCTATTTCAAACCATGATTATTCGAACGAAGATTTAAGAAAAGGAGACTACTTAATAATTCGGTTTCAGAGGTATGATTCGAGTACTACGTGTATGCGTCAGAATTAACCCTCAATTACAATATGGTGGGGTCAAGTTTGACTTCAGTGAGAATCTTTCAAGTCGAAAGTTTATAAAATTCAAGAGGTTCCTTTCTTTATCGATATTTCCATTATCTTCTTGTTCACGTCGCAAACTTATAATTTCAATAGTCAGTACTTTCGATTAAAATTTAATGTAACTGTGTTCTCGGGGTTGGAATTGAATCCTGCTATGACAGTTACATTATCTGGGTTGGGCTATAGTAGTTGAGGATTAATGATGTACGCGCATTCGTTCAAGAAGCGCGTCTTTAGCGGAGTATGTCAGCGTGGCGTTAGACTTTTTTATGTTGAAAAGTGGCCTACCTTGTTATGATGAGTAGAAGCGTGCAAGCCCAAGGAGCGAGATAAACGCGTGTTCCGCGTATGAGCGTTATTAAATGTTATTCTTGTGGATGTTATTGCAGAACGATCGATTGTATGATATAAATAAGTATCTTTTCCGCGGCGAACATACGCACGGAATATTTGCTCGGCCAATATGATTGTACATTTTTCTAGATTATGTGGGGTACTTTTCCTGCAAAAAATGGTTGAATTAAAAGGAATCGACGGGAATTTATTCTGTAAAATTAACTCTCTCTCTCTCTCTATTTCTTTTTTTTAATCGGAAATTTATTTTAACATTTTTATATTCTTCCCGTTCTTTCCTATTTCTTCCTATCTTTTCCCGAGACGCTACGTTATACATTTTAATAAATTTTTCTTACGTAATTTGTTAAAATAATGTGAAAAAGGACACGTTTTAAACGATAAATTCTCATCTAATTTAACCTAAAATATTAAATTTCTTTGTTTTTATATCAACAGGTGATTCAAAGTCCTTTTCTTCTATATTAAATAATAAAAGAAGAATATGTAATATTTAATTAACGCAGCTTCGAACGTTGTATGTCTGATTATAACGAAATAATTAATATGAAACAAGTTCCTATTAATTCCTTTTAATACATATATTTTTTGCAGGATCAGTACGTGTGTAATTCTTCTTCCGCGCAAACTATGATCGCAATGCGAAGTTCCTTGTATCCTTTTAACACATGATACTCTAATGTTATGTATGAAAATTGGGTTTCTTATCAAATTGTCGAAATTTTCTAAAATTCTTGAAATTTCTTTTAAAATTCAATGCAGGGCCGAGAAAAATTTCAAGAATTTTTTTTTTAATTTTAAAGTTGAAACTTTATGGGAATCTTTTAATTTTATAAATATCAAATATTAATTGAATCATACGATGTGAGAAGACATGTTTTGTTCCTAGGTGATGCAAGGATATTCATACGCTAAGACATTGGGATATTAAGATTATGCTCGATGTACATACATGTTTCGCGAAGTAAAGGAAGAGAATTATCGACACTGACCCATGTTTTCCGTGCACACAGATTATTATACATAAAAATATATAAATAAATAAATAAATATATATTTTTTGTTGCAAACGACTTTGATCTGGGCAGGGCTCCAGAAAGTGTCCTGATAATATTTTAATATATCAGTATTTTGTGTATTTTTTTATCAAGTAAACAAAATAATAATTGTTAATATATTGTGCAAATATCAAACAGATACCGTCCAAGAATAAATTGCATAGTTGACAATTCAATTTTTCCTATGCCTATGTAATATCACACTCACATTTTGTTCTTGTGAGCAAATTTTATGTGAGCTTATTTCGAATATCTCCCTTCTGCAATTGCGTTTGTTTTAACGTTTGAGAACATTTGTTTTGACTTTGCGTAAATTTGTTTCATTTAGCAAGCATCATCAAATACGTTTACCCGGCAACTTAAAACTAATTTAACGCAACCGTGGTCTATATTTACGTGTTAGTCTAGCTTTTATAGTGCATGTAAATATTGGTTGTTTATTTAAATATTGATTTATTACGATAATGTGGCATGTTTTATGCCATATTAAAAAATTAAGGAAAATCTCAATGATAAAAGATTCAGAATCATAATTCAGGAACATCATTCTTCTTCGGAAATTCATTCTTTTTGATGATCGAGATTTTCGTATTCGGAACAACCACGATTTGATTTGATAAGAATTTGAGATTTGATATACGTTTATATATATATTTTTTTAAAGGTGATGAAGTCTCTTGAGACGCGCGATAACTAACCGAGGCGTTCAAAAACCGCTTTTCCCGCCTCTCATCATGATACATTTCGTTACACATAAGAAACCTCGGAAATATTTTCTTGATGCAACGAATGCATGGAAGCTACTCGCCCATTGTCATTCGCGCCCAAGTCACTCGGCTTGGCTGGTAGAAGAAAGACATACTTTGTTTGCGCGGAACTCGGAAGAAATAAGAATTTTCAGATGCATCAAACGGTTCAGATCAACTAATTATTTAACAAAGCTTGTTTTCTTCACAATCCTGCCGCTCCTCTGCATTTACTCTGCTCCACCCCTTAGAAGTATGTCCTCCTACTTTGCTTCTGAAATTTGTGCGTTAGCAGAGCAGCCTTTTGTTCTGTTGCTTGGTCCGGTCCGCTTCTTAACAATAAAACAGATTGTCAACGTTTAGAAAATAACTATTGCTTAACCATTTTCGAAATAAAAAGACATTAATTGGCAGACCCTTTTCTGGAAATTTGTTTAATATATGACGAAATCTATTTTTTAATTCCTGCAATATAGTGCCGCTTCTGTTCACTTGTTCTTATCATCGTCGTAATTTTGACGTAATGATGTTACGTTCCAAAACTTATGTTTTAAAATCTACTGCATTTCTTTTATAATCTATTGGAATATTATCGCGTGTATAGGTATTTGTCATTTCTTTTGCAAATTATTTTGTCACATCAAACGAATTTTGAGAATCAAGACAAATTTCTTTTCCTATTTCATATTTTTTTATTTCATATTTTCATTCATTCGGAGTAGCATGTTCTATATTTTTCCTTTTACTTCCATTTTTTCATTTGTTATCGCAATTTCAGACAAATTCAACGAAATAAATATTGCGTATAACAGTATTACTACATTTCGGATTAAATCGCATTGTACCTTACCTACATCCGCACGCAAACACGCTTTTTGTTAATAAATTTTAACTTGTGCACAGCATATATTCTCTCTTTATAATAAATAAATGTGTTGAAATTCTCTCATATAAAGAATAATAATAATAAAATTAATATAATAAGAACAATTATTATCATATTTCGAAATATTATACGGTTACATATCCTGCATATCTGCACTAATTGTCATCTTTTATTATGAAAAAGTATGAAGAGAATGCGTTGCGCGCGTCGTCGTATTGAGCGGATAGGCGACTGCAACGTAACAATGCTCGTACGGAGGTCTTTCCATATAATTTTCGATAAATCCCTATTTCGGAATATGACGTTGTTATATATGGTTGAATTCGACATAAAATAATCTTTCATTTGGTTAGAAAAAATTACGACATTTCGGAAAAAAATTGTAAATGATGGGAGTATGTTGCAAAATATAACAAACTAAAACATTTTGGCACAAGCGTTATAAAGTGCACTTTAGACCATACAACTTTTTATTTGAAGATTTTTTCTGTTTTTTATAGTTTCGATGATGTACGCTGGAAAAAAACCGATTTTTTTTTTCAAAGGGGTGTTTCATCCTTTAAAAGTTCGTACGCGCGCGTGTAAAAAAAAATGTGTGTCTCTCCTATTTTAGTTTAGATTACAACATATTTCAAGCTCATCCAAACTGGAGGAGGACACTTCTGAACCTTTTCTTTGTTGAAATTATTGTGTAAATGTAATTGACCGTTAACAATTTATTAATTGTTTTGGATACAACGGGTAACAGTTGTGTTTTTTTTCTATTGTTTCTTGGCCGGTTGTTTATAATATTTTAACAATAATTATTAACAATAATTCATGGTCTTCATAATTTTAAGCTGAAAAAACTGATTTATTCATAATTTATTTATTCCTGATATTATCAGTCTGAAGAGAGAAATGTTTGGTTGGAGTCCGCTTATGCAGAATATTTTTTTTGCGCTGCTCTGCACTCAAAGGGTTAATTAGTTAATATATGTCGATTATAATATGTATATTCTTTATAGTAATTATTTACTATTAGTTAAATGTTAAAAAAGGTAGCTGTAAAGTGCCTGTCGTTCTCCTTTATTATATGTTGGTAATTTGAAAGCTTCTAACAAAACGATAATGCACTTTCTTTCTTATCACATGATGATAATTAATTTTTTACTTACAATTGGCAGGAGAGGATTGACTATTATTGACTAACGGTGAAAGAATGATTTCTTACGTGTTACATATTTCTTTTGCTGAATTACATTCTAGACACCGATGAAGTAAGAATAAAGACATCCGATTTTACATAATTTGACGTGTGGAAATTTTCTTGTTTAATAATGCGTTACCTCGTGTTACATCAACATATATGATAACTGAAGGTATGCAATTTCACAAGAAGATGTACTTTATCACGCGTCCGCAAAACATCGGATTAATTGTAAATTACAAACTCAGTATTTTATTAAATATATTAAAATTTTATACATTACAAAATTGTCAGTTTTTACAGTACATTCTTTTTATTAATAATTTTCCCTCCGAAGTTTCCAGGAAATACAACTTTTACGGAATTATATCTCAACAAACTAACATTCCTGCACAAATAGCTTCCTGAAACTTCATTAGTCATTTCCTATTACAATCCTGGACACGACTTACATATGTCTTGGTGAGAACGCGTTCTACGGTTGAAAATTCACATGTGAGTAATATCAATAATAATTGCCGCTTGTTAACTTCTCCTCGGCCTCTACTTGCTCAAAGCCACCCGAGAGAACATTGTTGACCAGCAGCATCGTAAGCCAAACACTTAGCTAAATAGCTTCTCTCTTTTTCGGAGAGTGGGTCAGCTCTTATCCGGACAGAAGCGACCATCTCGCGCGAACAACACCGGGCGGTACCCAATGGTGTGTCAAGGTGGTAAATTATTCATGACCGAGACGAATGAGTTAATAAGCTGTAGTACGAGCCCGGGTCGAGGCAGAGATGAGTGATCGTAAATGTAAATCAGCCGGAGCCACGGATACTCAGCCCCGTAACACGAAAGGGGCGCGGTGCCGTCCGTCCACCCGCTACGCTGCCCTCTCTATGTGTGTCCATCCCTTCTCGGTATTCTCTTTCACTCCGCGCTGTCCCGGTAAATATATTTACCACGAAATCCATGCATTATGCTCCCGCGAGCGAACCGCGGATTATTCGAGCTGGATCGGCGCGTACCAACACGGTATTAAACCCTACGAAGATTGCACGTCGTGATCACTTTGGTCGGTTTATAGATTTATCGCTTCCCCAGTCTCGCTGATCTTCGTGGATGGTAAATATCGCTCCTCGTCATTAAAGTGATATTTGCCGTGCACGGAAAGGATGGAATTTACGATTAATAAAGGTGGACTGTACTGTGAAAGGGAGATATATTACATTGTTTTGATATCCTGCAGCGATGTGATCATTCGTTTTTTTTTTTTTTAATAATATCTGTTTTTTTAACAATAATCAGTTTTTTTTTTAAGATTTTATAACCGAGTTTGCAGTCGAAAGGGATTTCGACGTCGCGTTAATCCCCGCGTATCGCAATTTCCGAGATTGACAATTTCCGATTATGCAGGTTTTATTCATTGTTTGAACGAACACGACGGACTTTTTAGTTTTGAGCAAGGGATTAATATCTCTTTTAATCTCTTTCGTTGTTATTTGTGAAAATTAAAATAAACAGGCGGAAATGGAGAGAAATTGAACGCGATTGCGTGCCGAAATCGTAATTTGGCGATGTTTTTAAAATTTCTCTTAATTCGCAACTTCACAGAGATTGCAACTCCCATGAACTCTTTTAATTCGCCTGCTTTTTTTGTGGAGGATTATTTAAATCGCATCCGTTTTGGAGAAAGCGCAATTGGCCGGGAATACCATAGCATGTAAGTGCGTTACATGTTTCCTATTACGCGAACCGTGTTGCGCCCTGTTCGAGTTATTGGGAATAAAAGGAACAAAAACTAGCATCCGATGAATTCGGTGCTGGCGGCCACGAATATTGGGCCAATAAAGGACCTACCGTAAAGCTCGACGCAGTTGTGTATTTCTTTTAGGATATTTTGTCACAAAGCGCACGCTCCGCTATTCAACACAACTGCATAATTTAGCTAATCGATTTAATTTTCCCCTTAAAGCAATTATTTTTTCCCTTTTTAAGCAAGTTGCACTCAATTAATTTCGTGAATCAAATTGTATTGGTTTCCGGTAAACAAATGGGAGTATATAAAGGATCATACAATCCATTTTCCTCGAGGTTTTAAAAGTCGACAAACGGGAGTTATATTCAGAGCAAAATCTAGACCTGTTGAATCGCATTAATTAGAAATTCATGTCATGTTTGGTCATTTTTGTTAAATTAGAATGAACTATCGACTTGTTGTAAGAATTGAAGACAACCCTGTGAAGAATTCAAAGATATCAAAATGTTTTGATGGAGAGAGAAAGAGAGAGAGGCAACTATAAATTATTATTACTTTTTGACCGATACTAAATCTCGGAATAATACATCAACAATTGCTCTCGTTGTTTTAAC